GCTCCCGTGGTCATGACTTGCATGGTTGTACTGCCGCTCGAATCAGCGTCGGAGAGTAGGGACTCTGAGTATTTCCTTGGGCTCTCCCCTTTTGATGCCCTTAGCGAGGCTAGGGTGATCACAGGCTCGTACCTCAGGTGCTCTTGTTCCTTTGACAGAGTTAATGCAGGGGCGGAGGCCGCGGCAAAAATATCTCTTGCCTTACTTCGGGCTATGATGCCCGAAATATCACCACTTGCGGCGATGATGTTCTTGTTCTTTGCTTTGATTGCAGGAACAGCTTGATCCTTTCTTGATGCCATTTGCGTTTTTCGATGATTTGAGGATAGAGATGAGAGGTAGAGATGGTCCCACTGGGCGTGCCAAATTTGTAAACACGAAAAATTCCTGAAACAAGAGACAAGAATACGTGTACAAAATATATTTTTGTATTAATGATTTTGGGGTTACAATCTCTTTGTAATTTGATCCTCTGATTCTATCTTCGTAGGGTGTAGGTTTGTGGATGAGTTGTTGATCCAAAGGGCCGTCGGGGCTTGATCTAAGGATGAACGGATGATGAATGAATCTTCAAGGGGCGTTAGGCTTGATCTTGAAGAATGGGTGTATGAGTTTGTTGAGGTTGTTGATCCAAAGGGCCGTTGGGGCTTGATCTTAGGATGAACGGATGATGAATGATGAACACTTTCCTCAAGGCCCGTCGGGGCTTGATCTTGAGTTGGTGGAAGTTCTTCAAGGGCCGTTGGGGCTTGATCTTGAAGGTTGATGGATGAGCGGATCTTCAAGGGCTTTTGGGCTTAATCTTGAAGAACGATTGGATGTGTGGATTTGTTGAGGTTGTTGATCCAAAGGGTCGTTGGGGCTTGATCTTAGGATGAACGGATGATGAACGATGAACACTTTCCTCAAGGGCCGTCGGGGCTTGATCTTGAGTTGGTGGAAGTTCTTCAAGGGCCGTTGGGGCTTGATCTTGAAGGTTGATGGATGAGCGGATCTTCAAGGGCTTTTGGGCTTAATCTTGAAGAACGATTGGATGTGTGGATTTGTTGAGGTTGTTGATCCAAAGGGCCGTTGGGGCTTTGATCTTAGGATGAACGGATGATGAACGATGAACACTTTCTTCAAGGGCCGTCGGGGCTTGATCTTGAGTTGGTGGAAGTTCTTCAAGGGCCGTTGGGGCTTGATCTTGAAGGAGGATTTGACGAAGAACGAAGAGTGCTTTCTTGATCCTTCGGGATTTTGCTTGAGAGCTTTAGAGTTTCAAGGCTTCTTTCTTTCTTCCTTCCTTCTTTTCTTCTTTTCCTTCTTTTTTTCTTTCTTCCTTCCCTCCTTCTTTTCCCCTCCAAAATGAATGTCTTGGCTTCCTATTTATAGAATTCCAAAACTTGATTTTTGGATTTAAATAATCAGATGAAATAAATCATTTCTGCCAGGTATTGACACGTGTCCTATTTGATGACTTTTCCAATTTATTTCGATTTTTCGTTGAGTCACACGCTACATGTAAAATTTATGTGATACGTGAGCGTTGAAATTTTAATTATTGGTCAACATTCATTTCACCGAAATTTTGATGTCTACACTTCTACGTCTGATGTATGTGCAATCTGTTCTAAAAATGATCATGCTACAAATTTGTGTCCGATGACTTCATTTTCGGATCAAGAGCAAGTTAATTTTGTTGGCCAAAGAGGGTACTCTGCAAAGAACAATCCATATTCAAATACATATAATCCAGGTTGGCGGGATCACCCTAATTTTAGTTATGCAAATCAGCGGAATGTATTGAATCCTTCACAAGGGAACACTCAACGTCAAGGGACTGCTCCAGGATTCTCCGAACTGAAAAGGTCGTCTTTGGAGGATAGCATAGCTGCCCTTGCACAAAGTCAGCTTGCGTTTCAACAAAGCACCCAGACTTTCCAGCAACAAACACAACCTGCTATTCAGACTACTCAAGCTTCACTTCAGAAATTGGAAATTCAATTAAGTATGTTGAGTGTAGTTAGCAAAAAATACAAATTAATATAACAATCCATTTCAAATCCACTAAAATAGGCAAAAATCCTCTCAATTCTTGATTTATTATTATTATTATTTCTGTTTTGCTCTCAATGCTTTCATTTCTTGACTATGACAGCAACCTACCATTCTTTTTATTTTAGGAAATTTGACGGAGTATGATTCTCTCTCATCCTAATCTCTTTTCTCTTTTATCATCTCCTATTCAAACGATTACGATTACTCTACATCTTGTTTAGACTTTTTGTATAAAAAATAAGATAAAAAGAAGAGTGTGGAAGGAGGAGATGAAAAAGAATCATAATAAGTGCTGGTTTGGTATTGCTTTGGTTTGAAAAAAAAAAAAAAAACTGTTTCTGCTGTGCTGTGAGAATAAGCTCATTTTTGCTGCATCACATTTTTAGCTTTTTTTTACCCCAAATTGTGAAAATAAGTTGTTTTTAAGTGTTAATTATAAAAGTACCTCAGTATTAAACCAGTACAGGGGGAGATAATTATACTTCCAACTTGCCATACCTCTACGTAATCTCTTAGAACCAGGATCCTCGCCAGATCCATTCCTTAGGGATCCTAGGGATCACGCAATCATGTCCGTTCACCGTATATCATGCAGTTAAAAATCATTTAAAATTTAAAATTTAAAATTCAAATATAAATAGTACTTAACCAAAACTGACCGCATGATAAACAGACACGATTAAGTGATCCCAAAGGCAAACCCCCCATGGTTCTTAAACCCAAAAGAAGACCCCACATGGAAAAGTTACGAGGTCATTCTCCACTTTTATTAGAGTGAATAATCATAGACTCCCAAAGATCCAGCTAATGGATGGGACTCCACTCCACAGTACTTTTAGAGACATCATAAAAAATGTAATAAATAAATAGCTTAAAATTCGGGGACGTACTTTTGACAAATATTTTATAAGGTTCATTCCGTAATATATTTTAACAATTCAATCATTAATCTTTTAGTTCTTCTCAAGGACTATTTTTACCAAATCATCAAATACAGAGTCATATGACTGTTAGATTAAATTAAGCGTATTTTTTGTAGAATCGTATTTGTCGATTTTATTTGCTACAGATGAATGTGTTAATACTTTTGGGATTGCTCCTTTTTTTGTAAGGATGATCTATGGATGATGAATTGAAATATAGACGGTTTGGACCTTAAAAAAAGTTATGGAATGAGAGCCACAAAAACATGTGTCAAAATGTATGTCTTGGGGTCCTATCCCTAAATTAATTTTCATGACTACCACTTGTATAACAATCTAATGATATTTTTCATTACTTGTGAGAGATAATATATTCAAACTTCAAGAATAATTTCTCAACCAATTTACTAACCCCACCACTTTAGTGTAAATATATTATTGAATAAAAATTTAAAAAAACATAACATTTTCAGAGCAATAACCTTTTCTTTTAGAACAATACTTGGCTACTCAAAAGATGGGTAGGAGTTCCTACTCAAAACTGTTCTTTGCCTATTCTTAGAACTTCATGTTTATAATCAGAATCGTTCATATTATAAATGACTTTATAAATATTGCATCTACAAAAAATCAATTAAAACTAAGGTCGTTTAGTCGTCGAACTGTATAACAGCAAATGAACGGAATTGGTAATAACATTGCGAACCATCTATGTATTTGCTAGAATAAATTGACTAAACGACTTTAGTTTTAATTCATTTTTTGTAGAGATGATCTTTACAGTGTGATTCATAATATTTATGGTTCTGGTCATAAGCACAAATTTCCATGATTCGAATACAAAAAAAAATTAAGTAGGAGTTTCTACTCATCTTTGAGTAGCCAAATATTGTTCTTTCTTTTATAATGACCCCGTATTTAAAAATACATGTTTATTGTACTATTGATAATGTAGATATTATAATAATGCTGATTAGTATCCAAAATTGTCTACATATTTCATTGAGAGATCTTAATTATTCTTATTTTTCAAATCAAATTAATGATATTAGCGGAGGGCTAACCAGTCTTGGACCAGCGGGGATGGCAGGTCCAACCATTTCGGGGACGTCAATGTAATTTTCTTTTTGGGTAAAAAAGATCCATGTAATTGGCGGGGCAAGGTTTATGCAATTGGCCGGGCGAGTCCATGTAACGGGCGGAGCAGGTCCATGTCATTATGATATACCCGGATTGTGCCCAAGTTTTGTCTCGTTTGGCTTGGCTTTCATAAAGATAAAAGTGTTTCATAAGATAAATAATAAAAAAATTCAAGAAAATTACCGATTTAATCTCGTGCAGGAGCTGGTACTGGTACTGGTACGTGCATGTAGCCCGTGTGGGAAAGGAAAATCCTTGGCACCCAAGTAGAGAGCAAAATACCTATTTAAGCATATATTTTCCTAATCATATCATCTAGTGTGGTACATATATTAATGCATTCATCTCTCGATTTTAACCTAATTGAACTTTGCTTTTTATATTAAACACGTCATAATACGGTAACACTTTTGTTAAAACTTATATTCAAAGAATTTAAGTTACAAATTAAGTGACGAAAATTTGATCATTGCAACACATTATAACCAAATTTATAAATTAATATAATCATACATATTTAGTTAAGAGACAAAAAAACTCTAATTACACTGTAGGGTTTAGGGTTTATCAATACTCTAATTTTATGTATCTAGCGGAATCCTTGCAGAATCTAAAACCGATATTGTACGTAATCATTCATTAAATAAATCCAACCGATTGACCAAAACGTTGGACCACCGTGATTGCTATGCTCTAGAGGGTGGCCCAGTATAAAGTACTTGAAAAGGAACTCCAAGCAAGCACCTACTCCTTCTCCAGAGACGAAGACAGAGTCCTTGAGTCGTCAAGTCGTTTTCTTCTCCTCCCACAAGGAAACAGTTTCATCTTCCAAACTCCAACCACTTGCCAGCTACCGTTGTTTTCAATTTGAATTAGGGTTAGGGCTTGAGAAATACGATGATTCAGATCAAGAAAACGCCACTGCTCCTGCCGCCGCCACCGCAAGGGTGTTTGACGACGGCTGCTGTTCCGACAAGAGCAGCCCGAAACCTCCTTGTCCTCACTACACCCACAAGGTCAACAACAATTCCAACAACTATTTCAATGGCTCGTCAATCCCGACATTCGGTTCCCCCAATAATCCCGACGTGGACAAGAAGAAGAAGAAGAGCAATGGCTGCTTCCGATTCGGTTTCGGCGGCTGCTGCTGTCGACGTGGACATGGAGATTCTGGAGAAGAAAAATAACAAGAATAACGAGGTTTTTAAGGCGTACGGCGACCCCTGCCTCGATCTGTTTTTCAACGTCACACAACGACCCAGCGATTACCGGGAGGAGCAACAGGAGACGGAGAAGGAGTATCACACCAAAATGTTTCACTATCTGCGTCAACAGCTCCCCTTGGCCTGGTCCCACGATCCTCTCATCACTCTCAAGCTCATCTTCAACCTCTCTCACTGCGATATCGACGGATCGAAATTGTACAGTGAAGCTTTAGAATTCGCAGCTGTTTGGCTCCACCACAACCACCCCAACACTCTGTTACGCAACTTCGGCTCTCTTGCCGACTCCTTCGGTCCTTTGTTCACCCTGCTCGACGTTCTGTACGGCCTCCTCGTTCCTCCCCAGGATCAGCTGGATCATACACTGGAGGAGTTACTTCAACGCGAGAATCCGAATTCTCATGCTGATCGGTACGCCCACGACCCGACTTACAGGCTGTTGCACGACCGGGGTATGGATGCTTTTGCGGAGCGGTTGAAGTCAGATCTTGAAAAATTAAAGCAGAACAAGCTCGAGCTCAAGCCGTGTGATTATGATGACGATATTGAGGATGATACCGACTACAATGCTAAACGCGGTTCTCTTGATGCTCATGCTTATCATGATCTTCGCATTTCTTGGGCTATAGATTGTTTACTTACGAAGAACCCCTGGCAGGCACATAAGAGGCGCTCCATTTCGCTGGAAGAAAGCACTGCGAGGAGGCTTTTCGCCCCCGAATCAGATGTATGGTGGGAGTGGGAGCGACTAAGGAAGGAGGTTTTGGCGCCCTTGAAAAACTACTCTGATCGTCAACATAAATTTGCCAGGTGGGAGCGCTGCGAGGTGAAGACGTACTTGGAGGAGGTGAAAGCAGCAACAACAATAATAAAGCCCGACGCTTTGCTTCCATATGACATCCTCCGCCATCTGGAAGATGGCAATGTTGGGGAAGCGGCAGAGCTTCAGTGGAAGTCAATGGTGCAAAAGCTCAAGGAGGGGGGCAAATTCAAAAACGCCTGGGCCGTATGTGACAACAGCTGGTCCGAGTCTAGTAGTCTGAATTTGGGACTTTTGGTGTATGAACTGAGTGAAGCGCCATGGAACGGAAAGGTGATGAATTTCTGTCTGCCTGATTCCCGCGGCATTCATTTTTTGCCCCAGCTGCATTCCATTCAAGGCCTCGACAATGTTAAGTCCAAGTTGTCCTTTCTGACGAGTATGGGGAGGAGAACAGACGGCGACATATGTATTGATTTTCAAATGGTGTTTGATGCGATCTTGGACGTGGCTGTCAAGGAGAATTTGAAGCCAGAGCAGATGATCAAGAAGCTGTTTCTGTTCACCGACTGCGCAGGCTATGATTGGAAGGGCTACGATACTCTGTATGAGACCGTACGGAGCATGTTTGAGGACAAGGGGTATGGGAATGATGCGGTGCCACATATTGTGTTTTGGGATGTTGGGTGGGGGTATGGTTCTCTATCCTTTGACTTTCCTCATAGAAGGGTGACGGTGTTGCGTGGTGACTCCAAAAATTTGGTCAAATACTTCTTGGAAAATGGTGGGGATTTTCGCCCTCACCATCTCATGGAACTAGCTATTGGCGAGAAAGAGTATCAAACTCTTGCTGTAGTCGACTGACTCACTCGCTCATTCATCCGGTCCCTCCTTTGCCATTGACATTGAAATTGAATTGATGATCTATATGATCTTCTGCAATCTGATCTGTCATCATTTCCAGGTAGAATTTAAATTAATAAGTAACCCTTATTACCAAGAAGAGATATCCTATGTATGTCTGTCTGTATTAGCTAGATGTGGTTTGGATTCATTCCAGAGCTCTCTCTTTAACATTAGAAATAACCATGTGTTTTAGTATCCTTAATTTTATTGTTTCCTCGGTTAGTAAGCTAGCAACTAGTGGTACGTAATATGGATGATTAATTAAGCTTATTAGTTACATAGTGGTGGAAGCAATTGTTTGCTCCTCCATCTTATTGTTTCGGACTTGTCAAGTTCGTTGTTCACACTTACCCTTACGGCCTCGCTCGATATCTAGGATTGGTTAGGCTAGATTCATTAGATGTTGAACGGAAATATGTATGCCAAGTCGCCCATTTTGTCCAAGTGATGACAGAGGATGCAGAAAATATGCAATTTCACTGTGGACTGACCTGCATCCAGTAATTTTGTTCTTGGTCACGGACACACAGTGGAAGGCGTGGTTCGGTACTATCTATTCGATAAATGGCAGCGGAACTATTAATCGTGTGAACGATGATGATATTAGTTACGATTTTTTTTTAATTTTAGTTATGATTAACAAAGAAATATGAACCCTCTCATCGTTTGGTGTCATGTTTTGCTCCGGTTTTCTTGTTTCGTAATTGCTTATTTGATATCATGCATATCACTATCGGCACGTGTTCGAATGCAATCGACTTTGTTCATGAATTTAACACTTTCTACAAAATTAGGTTGTGAAACTGTGAAACAATCGATCAGAAACAGCAGAAACACAATACGGGTTTGGCGCCGTGTTGTTTCGTTTTCGATAGGGTGGAGAGTTGTTACGTCCGTGGACATGCGCGGGACTTTTGTAACGGGTTCGTAGGTGGCGTCAGACAGTCGATGTACTGTATGGCCGAGTCAAAAGTGACCCGCTTTAATATATGAAGTAACTCCAAAGACGTGAACGGCGACATTGGTATCTAATACCGATACCATATTAAGGTTATATTGATGAATTGGTACTAAATATCAATTTGGTATTAACAATATTTACCAATTATCAATATTGTATCAGCGACATCCACTAAATATAGACAATTTCGTCGGTAAGTCTGAGAGTTCAATTTGGTTTTCCACTTCTAGTTTTCTGCAGAAAAACACCATCTCTGTTGGAATTTGAATCTTCTCATTGACTTTGAAGGTTTTTCAGAGTATTGAGAATCTGATTTGAATTTATTTGTAGGGCCAGGCTTGAACGACGGCGTGACATCTTCTATAATACAAACATTATCAGTATAATCGTTTATTCATTTCCTCATCATATAAAGATCAACTATAGAAAATCATTAAATTTGGAGACGTTTAATTCTTTACATCATCATATAAAGATCATCTCTAAAGGAATTCATCCATATGAGTCAAACAATTGATCAAGTTGGTGCTTGATGAGTAGATTTTATACTATATATTATTCCCCATTATTGGTACTAGCTTCTCTGCACGCATTCACGTACGTGCAAGAGACATTTTTTTTATCATGGACGCTACGCGCCCCTGAAGTTGTTTTGCGTTAGTTGTTTTCAATTTGTTCAATGAGCTATTTTGACAATTTCAATGAAAAACAACTAACGTAAGACATCTTTAGCGGCATGTAGAGCCCCGTAATTGAAAAAAAGGTATGTCGCATGCACGTGATACGTGCAAAGAGTTTAGCGTCTCGATCTATTCAACCATTGGTGTAAACCAATGCAATAGTAAATTAGTAATCACACAATCCTTTCAAACACTTTGATTTTACATTATGTTCTCTTAGTACCAACATGTACGTGCATCTAGACAAATTACTAACAAAAAATAATGGTTGAATACATGCAACAAAACATGGAAGAGAAACAAAAGAGAATAATAGTAAGCATGTTTTAAGTCATTATGTATATTGTAAGTCTCTGCTCCTTCGTACACTCTTGGCTTTCGTGTGAAATCTCGATCTGCAAGTAATTTAGTAATAAACTTTCAGTAATACAATTAAGGTAGAAATCCAAAACAATTAATGTAAAAAGAAGTAAATGGAATCATTTAAAAAACACCTAACACTAATACTCTAACCAAAGCAAAAACGTTTTAAATTGGATTAAAATGGCTAGCAACACCTTAAAAAATCAAATAAAAACAAACAACTCTAACCATTTGTTTTATAGTGTTGTTTCAAAACTACAGTCCTTTTCTTCGATAGCCTCATAATTCATCATCGGTTTGTTTTATTATTATTATTATTATTATTTTTTGGAAATTTCAACACCTAATTGCAATGAGATTACCAAAGTCTATAACTGAGAAATTAAGAAAACAACATAATTAACGTTCTACAATCAATTAAAGAAAATTGTAAGTTTCATCAAAAGTCTGGTACTGAGAAAAACAAAAAAAGAAGCTAAATGTTAGGGAAAAAAATGCAAGTCAGTTCAGATGAAGGGATTTCTTCTGCAGGGTTTACAAACAAACACCATTAAACGATAGGAACTCCACAAAGTTAATACAAAATATAATGTTATATCATGAGGTATGCAATCTGACACACTCCGATCCCGATATTCCTCGAATACCAGGATAGGCACGTGCTGACCGACACCCGAGGATGACGAAAGCCATTTATTGAGTGCAAATGCTGAAAACAAGCGGTAGATAAGGCTTACAAATATAAAAGAATAATGAATATGCATTTAAGGAACGTGTTCAGAGCATACAACTAACTAAAACACTAAAAGAAATAATATAAAATTGAATGAAACAAAGGAGTGGGTCCTACACTGAGAGGACTCAAAGATACCGATGTAGAAGTGCCTGGACGCCGGGATTGTATGCCTCGATTCTAAGTCCTGAAGGGGGCGCAAAACAAACATGAGTGGACCAAGTTTATATATATATATATATATATATATATATATATATATATAAAATAAAACAATTATCAACATACTAACCCCAAGGTTTTATGAAAACACATATATTATGATAAACATAGGTTCTTCCGAAACCTAGCATGCTATGCAATGTCTCAAATCATAACTTGTATATATAATAATCACTAGTGAATGTCCGATAACCCCCAGGCCCCATGCCGGCTCCCCGTCTCTGAGCAAATAATCAGAGGAAAATACACTCCAGGCCCAATGCCGGCTCCTCGTGCTTGTGCTAAATAGCCAGAGGAAACACACTTTAGGCCCTATGCCAACACCAAACCGTCGCCCGGGACGGACTAGAATCTATCCCTACTTCCCGTAGCGGAAAGGACCACTAGGTAAGTACAAAACCAGTGAACATACATATATTGAAAATGAACTCCATAGTATAAAGTCATCCATCATCTAAACTATAAAGAGGTGTTCTAAACATGTTCAAAATATCATATCGTCATCCATCGGATATTCTATAAGAACACGGGTTATAGGAAAAATAGGAATAATTTAAAATAGCCTCAGTAAACATGTTATCTCATAAAATATTTCATAAAACATAGTCATCAAATCATGTTTTTCATGTATGCATTTGTAATATCAAAACATGCATTTTTAGAAGGGGTTCACTCTCACAATTAATTGCCCCTAAGCACAAAAAGGGTCCAATTAATAAAACTATACTCAAATGATTTAATTTGGGAAAACAGAAGTCGAAAACGGATTCAGGATGTCGAATTACCCTAAAAAGGGTCCCGGATAAATTTTGTAAATGTCAAAAGAATATTTTAGAGAATATTCCCTGACAGAATATTTCAAAGAATATACCGAAATATTCTCTGATGGAATATTCCCTAACGGAATATTCCACAAAAGGGTTTTACCTGGCTAGGGTTTAGGGTTGGAAAGGTTAAAGGGTTTAGGCTTAGACTTTTAGGTGGGTTGGGTTTGGGTTTTTAAACTAAACGGGTTTAGGGCTTTAACATATAAGGCCCAAGGCTTTTTAAACCAAAAAAATAAAAAGGGTTGGGTTGGGCTCGGCAGGAAGGGCCCGAAGGCCTAGGAGGTTTCTTGGGCTTGGGCCCTCCAACAGCTCACAGCCCAAAGGCTTTTAACAAATCAGGGGTGGGCCCTTTGGTTCCCGTCACCAGGGACAAACAAATCAGGGGTGGGCCCCTTGAGCACACCATTTAAGACCTAAAAACCATTTTAAAAAAGAAAATATTCCCAAATTTAGTGAAAATACAAAAATACTCTTTTTGTTCCGTAAATCCCGGAACGGGTTGTTGCACAATCAGTATGTAATAACTCATACATTGCAGTTCAGGAATAACATGTGGAGTACACGAAAATGTGGTAGTCCAATTTTACATATTCCTCTTTTCCATGCACTCTTAACTAACCCACAACCTACCAAAATAAATTTGGCTTTGATTGTCTTAATTGCCAACATGCCCCAACAAATGAGCTGGACAACGCTCCATTGGTTTCTTTTGTTAGTAAAACTGCACTGAACACCTCATGCTTTCTCTACAGGTAAATCTAATTCCAAGTCCAAAGCTCTAGGAATTCATCAATAACAAACTTCTCATACATAGCTCTAGGAATCCATCGATAACAAATTTCTCATATATCTCACAATGCACATACAAAATCCCAGCTACCGAAAACTCACCAAAAGCATCATTAAACTTCAAATTCATAAGCTTCATCGAAAAAAAACAATAAAATAAAAACATACCGGCATCATCATCATTCATGTCATTAGTTTCTTCTACAGAGTGAAATCGTTTTCGAATGTCGAGATTTTTCTGTTTTGTTTCATCGTGGGGCCCCCAATTGCCCCAGCTCCCCACCACATTCCCACGCATAAACAATTCGGTACACCTGAGACTGCTCAATCAAATGAAATCACAAAACAAACAAACACAAAAATCACAACAAAAATAAATAAAATAAAATAAAATAAATCTGTACAAATTTGCATACGTACCTTATAGCAGTGCGGCGAACAGTAGTGTGAGTTTCATCGGGGATATGTGTATTGCAAAAAGTAAAGATAACAAATTTATCAATCTTAAATTCTTTACCTTGGCTTTTGATTGAATAAAATCATCTAAATTAAGAGGCCTTAACTCCTCCAATTGGCGTTATCTCTTATTGGTATGGGGGTGTGAACTGTGATAGGAAGTGTAAATTTTAAAATGGTGATTGAATCACCCATTTATTAATATGGAACCTAGAGAAGAAAAAAAACGCAGAGAGAGAATGGTCCATTTGGCTAAAGAGAAACTGGGTGAAAATTAACCCCAAAAAAAAAAATATATATATATATTATTAAATTTAACCCTAATTCTAACAAAATGGTGATAGCAAACTGAAGAATTTTAAAGTCACAAAATTAAAAATTTTACAAAGTAGGCCGAGATTACCTATAAATGGTGATTACATTGTATTTTCGCCCCTCGGAGCATTGTATTATATCAGAAAAAACTTCAAGAAGCAATCCATCCTAAGCAACGCAACCAAAAATCAGGTTTATGCAATAAAATTTGATTTTATTGTTATGGACAAATACTGTAAGTCTATAACTGAGGCTGCATACCAATGAGTTTTGCAAGGCCCAAATAATCTGCCAGGAACAAAGAAAATGAAAAGAGTGAAAAATCAGAACTGGATTTGGGGATTTTCCGTGGCTCTGTAGATGGCCAATCTCCATTAATGCACACAATCTCACCCTGTAGATGCCCAATCTCTATTAACATACACAATCTCATCCATTACGTAAGATAGTCACTATTCCAAAATTAACGATAGAACAAAACCCAAAAATGAACCCTAATTTTTTAAATTGAGAAGTTGGATACCTGAAGAAAATGGCAATGAAGGCGACAGTTTCAGTCACAAACTTAATCGGATTAGCATTTAAGATGAAAATTACTTTCTAAGAAAATCACTTTTATCAATAATCCAAATATTCTAACCTTTTGGTCACCAGTAGTTCTTTCCTTTGCCTGCTTTATGGAATCCACTACCATTAGTGCTCCATGCTGCACTCCATGAAGCTAAAACAAAATCATCTCACATTAATCCACCGACACTAAAAAATTAGAAAGCTAAATAAAGTTCACAGTAAAATATGCAGATTGCACTCTTGAAACTGAGAACTGTAGATGGTGATCTGTTAATCAAATAACTTGCATGATTAACAGCCTTTGCTCAAAAACTATCAGGCAATCCTGCATGAGATCGCATGCTCCTCTCTCTCCATGAGAGTTCGGTTCATCCTCTCAACAACTCCATTTTATTGAGGATTCTTCTTTACTGTGAAGTGCCTTATGATGCCTTCCTGCTTGCAGTAATCGGTAAACTCATTACTTGTATATTCACCTCCATTGTCACTTCTCAAGTACTTGATCTTTCTTCTAGTTTGATTCTCGGTTTCTATTTTCCATTCCTTGAACTTTGCAAAAACCTCGGATTTCTGCTTCATGAAATAAACCCAAACCTTCCTAGAAAAATCATCCATGAAAGTAACAAAATACCTGGCTCCACCATTTGATTTAGTTGGTGTAGGGCCCCAAACATCTGATTGAATATAGTTGAGTTGCTCCTTGCTTTGGTTATTTGCACTGCTAGTTGCAAATGATGCTTTTCTTTGCTTTTCGAGAACACAGTATTCAGAGAAGTCCAGTTTGCAAGATGACACGCCTTCCAACAGGCCTTGCTTGTGTAATTCTTGCAACCCTTTCTGGCTTATGTGCCCTAGCCTATGATGCCAGAGTTCAGTCTTGTCTTTTATACTCTGGTTTATAGAAACAGCTGCTCCCCCGCCTATAGTGGTCCCAATTAACTTATACAACTTATTGGGTTGTAGGTCACCCCGCATTACCACTCGCAATCCTTTGGTTACCCTGAGTCTTCCTTTTTTAGACTTGTACCCATAACCGGCCTCATCTAAAGTACCCAAGGAAATCAAATTCTTTCTTAGTCTAGGGACATATTTGTCGTTCCCCAAAGCTCGTATCATCCCATCTAACATTCTGATCCGAACAGTGCCAATTCCTCTTACGGGACATGAAGAATCGTCCCCCATTAAGACTTCCCCACTGCTGACTTCCTTGTAAGTATCGAACCATTTCCTTACTGCACACATATGAAACGTGCATCCGGTATCCAAAATCCAATTTGTGCAAGCCTTGAAGCCCAATGTTACTAAAAGAAGCTCCCCATCACTCTCATGCTCGATGACTGCATTAGCTGAACCTAAGCTTCCTTCCATCTTGGTCTTCTTCTCTTTCCAAATCTTGCAGTTCCTCTTCTAATGATCGACTGAACCACATTCAAAGCAACCTTCCTTCTTTTCCTTTTTCTTCTTGTATTTTGACCTATCTCTATTGCCGGTTTTCTCGTCCTCTGTCTTTTCCCACCCCCTCTCCTTGCCTTTGACATAAAGGCCTGGAGAGCTTTCAGTTGTATCGTCCAGTTTAGCATACGACTGAAGAGCTTGAATTACATCTTCAAGCTTTAGGGACTCTTTTCCAAACATTAGAGTTGTTCGAAAGTGCTTGAAAGATGAATGTAGAGACCTCAACAAGATGATAGCCATATCATCATCTTTGTAAGTTTCTTCAACCTTCTGAAGATTAGCCATGCAATTCTGGAACCTGCACACATGATCTTCAATATCACCTCCTTCTAGTTGAAGCCTGAATAGTTCATCCTTTAGAAAAGGTTTATTGGACATGATATTGCCCATATAAACATTCTCCAACTTTTCCCATGCTTCCTGGGCAGTCATCTTTTCGGTGGTGTGATCGAACTAATCTTGTGAGATGGATCTCGATGGAGCTCTTGGCCTTCTTGAGAACCTTAATCCATGCTGCCTCTGTCATGTTTTCCGGCTTCTCACCATCGAGTGCATCATCCAAATCTTGTTGTATCAGTATGTTCTTCATTATCCTTTGCCAGTCTGTGAAGTCATCCTTGCCGTCAAAGGGCTTTAACGCAAGTCCTTGATCCACATTCATCTTCCCTTTTGACGTCATAGAACACCTTGATCCTGGCTCTTGATACCAATTGTTGAAAAAACCTGCACACTAGACCTTGTTCTTTAATGTAACCAACGGCAATAGACTAAACTAGCAAATATTAGAAAACTTAGAAATACACAAGAATTATACTGGTTCGGCAGAACTTTTGCCTACGTCCAATTGTGATTTCTCTAGGTAGAGAAATCACTGCTCCTTTGATTAATAATAGAGATTACATAACTTTTGCAAACCCTATAACTAATCTCAAAACTCTTGGCTGTCTGGCTGCTTTCTTTCTCTTTGTAAAAATCAGCCTTGCCACACCCTATTTATAGGCATAGGGTAGGCTTACATGTCTCAAGGCTGATTGAATTCCTATTTCTAAGCGGATTAGGAAATTGCACTTATCCAAAACCAAATAGACTTCTAGAAATCCAAATCTAAATTGAATAAGGAAACTGAAATTTTTTCCTAATCCCTCTAGGACAAGAATCGGTATACCTCTAGGTTTCCTAAAACAATCCTAAACCAACTAGGACATATTTAACGAGCCAAAATCCTAACATAATTTCTATGTTGTATATATCCATGTACATATGCGTGTGTGTGTAGATTGATCATCTAACTAAAAAACATGCTAAAACTATAGAAAATGAAAATTATGTATTTTTGTGTAAAGGTGCTGCCTTTCTATGTTTTTTTTTTTTGTAGTATACTACTTTTATTGTGCTGGGCCCCATTCTCTTTCATTCAGAAGTAATTTGCACACAACAATTTAGAACGTTTTGTGTAAATTTCCAAAATCATGGTACTGTTGATGGTTGCTCTCTAAGCTGCGAAATTAGTTATCAGAAAATCTTAGCTGTGAATTTTTTTATTGGTGAACTTGATGACCTTACTAGGTTCATAGTGTATTGAAGTTGGAAGATTTCTTAACTGTAGTCTTGAAGTGCAAGAACTGTGGAACTTACAATGGTTGGCAGGCATTGCAGTGTACCATGTGCAGAGGATTTGGGAGGGTGCAATACCAGGTGGAGAACTACACCTTGAGAAGGTAGACTTTCCTTCATTTGGATTTTGACCTCTATGTCTGGAAAATAAGATTTGTGAGTTTGGTATGCATATGGGTTCTTGGTTTTAAGAACAAAAGTTACTTTTGTTTTGAAATTGCAATTTAGTTGGTGTCTGTGCCTGGGTGTGTGTTTTGTGAATTTGGTTTTAGGACTAAAGTTATATATGTTTTGAAATGATATGCTTGATTCATTCAAAAGTAGGAAAAGATGGGATTTTTAGTTGGATTATATAATCTTTTATACAAAGTCTTAAAATGCCACGCTTGATTCATTCAAAATTAAGAAAATCGGATTTTTGTAGTGAAATTGTCCTGTTTTGGTTCAATGGTCTAGGCAATATGGAAAAAAAGTTACATTGGTTTTCAAACGGCATGCTTGATTCATTAAAAAGGACCAGAGAATTAACTATTCTAATCAATAATTCCCCACACTGAGAACTTGAGACATTGGACTGATACGCATTTCTGAGATTTATTTTTATTTTTTTTTATAGAATATTTAAAGGTGGTTTTAAACTTTTAGTGTAATTATAGAAGTATGGATTTTTGATTCCATATAAATTGCTGTTTATATATGTGAATTCAAGAGGGGAGAATTTGTATGTGGATGTAATAAGTAGGGGTGGCTTTGAGAAGGTTTGGCTATCTATTTTATCTGTCGTTCTTAATTTCACTAAATTAAAAATGAATTATTAATTTTTCACTTTTAAAATAAAAGATAAAAGAAAATCATATGTACTTAATTATATATATAATGTGTGTAGGTAGTTCCAGAGAAGAATTGGAGGGAGTGGGAGGTGTTTTCATATTCTCCCCAACAAGCAGCGCTTTGTTTGTGCTGAGGAAACACTGCTCAACTCTTCTCTACCTTTACGAACGGGTTCACTTTTTTAGGCACAGGGTCCTTTATCTACCCCCACACCCTCACCCTCACCCTCAGGTACTCATTTACTTCTTACTGGTCTGATTTTTCATGCTCTTTTTTTTTTTTTTTTTTAAACTGATGCAATTGGCTTTTATGTTATGTATCTTGACTGCGGATATCTTATGTGACCTTTTTGCTCATAAGTGCTCCCTTTTTTCGGGATCATTTTGCACTGCTGGCTTTTGCTTTGTTATTTTTGGAGGTTCAAGTAAATAATAACCATTCCGAGTCTGCAGAGAAACCAGAACTAGCGCTATAGGAATATTCTCCCAAAGGCAAAGGGGCCAAAGGGACCGAACCCATAAATGGTTGTCGGCTTTTGGTCACTGTTGAAGGTATATATATTATAGGGTTCATTTTTCTCGATACAAAAATTATATTGGATAAGGTGATTTCAGTCACTCAGCCACTCACCACAAGTTTGTTTTTTGGTATGTACTCACCACAAATGTTTTATATGGTTTTCTGCCCCTATTTGTTTGAATTCAATTGCTGTTTCTATTTGCAGATATAGAAACCACTGTGTCATGCATGGTCTCTGCAAGAGGCGGTCTATAGATCCATAAAAATATACCAGATTGCCTGGTGTCGTGTCGAGTTAAGTGTTTAATGGATAAAAGATTGTTTTCAGAGTTATAGATGAGTTGACTCGAATTTGATTCGCTTAAAAAATTGAAGCCCAATACCGAACTCAAGCTATTTCGAGCTATTTTTTTATAGTAAATTTGCTCATACAAAACTTTGCAATATCATGATAAGTTTTAGACTTAAGTGTGCTAACCTATCAATCTTTTTAATATTGTCACATATTGTGTTTATGATTTCTCTGTTTAACATTTGGCACAAATAGGTGAAGGCTTTGCGTGATTGGACAGACTTTGCTTTGCATGATTGAGAAGATAATGTGAAGGCTTTGTTTCGCCAAGACCAGGTAATAATCTTTAATTGGCTAGAATTCATAAAGCCTTCTGGTTGCTGTTAATGATCTAACTTCTCTGCATCTTGCTGGCTGCAGACCTATATGACACTCAATGACATCGATGCTGCAGTTGAAAGCTTCCAGAAGTTGGAACCAAATGATGGTTAGGGGTGTTACATAATCTACCTAACCTCATACTGGAAAATAGGCTCTTTTGTGAACTAGGTTATTCTTTCTTTTAATTGTTAATGTTTGCCAAGGTTGGGTTTCCTGGGATTAGATAGCTGTTACAGGATTGTCATGCCAATCTTGAAATGCTTTATATGTTATTTTCTTTCGGACTTTTGGTTAAAATAAAGTTGCACATTTTTTTCCAACGGCAAACCAGATTTTGTGGGAACCTCAATGGATATTAGCTCGACTGTGGTTTGGTTTTGACAATCTGCTACGAATGATTCAACCTTTATGCTTTCAGAGTTGATGTCCTGGACCAGCAATACGTTATACTATCAATGCCACTTATTTACACTACTTCTAATGCATTTGACATTCCCGCGGCAACGAGCGGGCTAAAACTGCTAGTTGCTACTATGAAAATACGGGCTTGTGTGCTGTATATTCTTAGGTTGGCAATTTATCTAGAAACAAAAAGTGATGTGCTGCTACCTTATGAACCAAAACCATTAATTTTCTTGTTCTAGTATTTGCTTAGAAGTCACACTGAGTCCCTCTCCATGATGCAGGATGGACGAATAAGTTATGAGGAGTTTGCCGCAATGATGAAGGCTGGGACAGATTGGAGGAAAAGCATCAAGGCAGTATTCATCAGATCGGTTCAAGAGTCTCGGTTTGAAATTGATTAGGGATGGATCATTGGAAGGTAAAACGGATAGTACATAACTTTGGAGGATCGACACAAGGTACTTGTGGGGGAGATGCATATCCAGGAAAGAACCTTTATTTTATTTTTATTTTTTTTGTTGTGTTATGTAATACTTTTTCATTTTTCGTCATATTAGACCGTTTTGTGACTATTAGGATACGAGCCAAGGGTGTTCATGTCTTGGTGAACGGGGATGCATGTAACGTAATTGTAACCAAAATTTGACATGAAAATACTACAATTCTTATCCATTGTGTGCAGTCATTCTCTTTAGATCGTTTTTGTGAGCGATGTGAGAAATTTTTTCAATTTGTTTTTTCTAATCACGAGGCCCATCCAGCTACCTCAAGCATCACAACATTGAAACCTGTAATCCATCCACACAACCTTTTGTATTGCATATAATCGGAGGCATCAAATAGCAAAATTATTAAAATTACACTCATATAATTTGGTAAATGAAGATATGGTTGGTGGTGAGCGGTTCTCAATGTTAGAAATCTCATGTTTTTGGGGTAATTTTTTTGTTCTACTTTAATTCATCGTGAACTTGTTAACAAAGTGGGAGTGGAGGCGGAGCCATCAGGGAAAGCCGATTAGGACGAAAGAACACAAGTTACAAAACATATCTTTAGCAATTTTCAGTCAACAACAGTGTTTTAAGTACTCTTATGTTAAACTTTGGTTACAATGATTAAAAAAAAAAAAATTAATTAATTAATTAATTGCCTAAAATTCTATTCATAGTCTAAATTTTGGCTAGTTTTACAAATTTCTCAAGAAAAACTTAATGAAAGCCGATACGTTAAAAGAAAAATGCATAGATAGATCACTTTCTTAACAACCACAGAGTCAAATGTAGAGAACAGTGAAACCCTTAAAACAACCTAACCTAACGCATTTGAAGGACTTAATTTAAAACAAAGTAACCTAATTTAAAACACACATTGTAAACTTGGTTCTTGTTCGATCCTTGACAACCTAAACCCTACACTGATAACTTGTGCTTCTTCGATAATCACTCTCTCCTTCTCTCTTTAGAGTACTACTCAGTGCTTCTTCATCACTTTCTCGTGCTCTCTACGTAGTGTATTTCCTAGCTTCAGGGTTTTCTTCTGCAGTGTATCCCTGAAATGAGGTTTGGTATCATTCTCGATCATAAAATCCGGGACCCATACCCCCTTTTTAATAAATTCCTTCATAGCATTGTAATCCTTGATATCCTCCATCACCACAACTCTTTCAGCCATCAGCTCTTCAACTGCAATTTTGTAGGCTTTCTTCTGGGATTTTCCAAGATTTTTGTACTTAGCAGCGTGCATCAAGGTACGTACAGCCTTGAGAGAGCGGGGTCTCTCCGAAGGGTGGAACCGAAAATGGTTGTCTGCAACAATTTCACCCTTATTCAGGGTGGTGTTGCTGGGCGCAGGTAGGGATATTACTAGGCATTTAAGGGTTAATGATGAAGATGAAGCGATAGTGGAAGAGAAGACCAAATGTTGATGAGAAACATTTGGTAATCTTGCAGAGACCCGGGTGGTGGTGTTGTTGTTGGAGGCAGGGGTAGAAAGGTAGGATGGAAAGGAGAATGCAGCCATATTTTGATTGTTATCTGTCTGAAGGTGGTGGTGGTGGTGATGGTGGTGGCAGCATTCATTTTATAGGCAAACACACATTTGGGGGAGTTGAGATTAGGGTTCATCATCAACGAACAAGTACGAGAAAAAGCAACTTCAAGTTTAATGGAGGAGTAAGGGCTTGGAGGTGTAATGGAGGAGTAAAGGTGAACGGCGTTGGAAGGAGGAGGAGGAAAGCGACACCTTCGGGTGCTAAGTTTCTGGGGTTCTGTCCGACAGAGATAAAGAAGGGGAAAAGATGCCCCTGGATTTGTTTAATTTTTTTTATAAATTTATGTATCCATTTTTTTATTTTATTTTAATAGAAACAATTTTATTAGAACTTTTCTCCTGCTTCTAGTCAATCAAAAAGTAATTTTAACATTATGCAACGGAAGAATGATAAAAAAAGACTAACCTTACAAATTTCATTCTAAAAGGTGAGTGGTCATTTACCACAGTGATGAAAAAGAGTTGAGCCATTGTATGACGGTATGGATTCAAGCCAGTCAGTAGTTAATCTAACATCTAATCTAACAAATCTATCGTTTGACCAAAAAAAAAAAAAAATCATCCTATAAGCCATATTTTAATCTAACATCTAATTTAACAAATCTATCGTTTGAGGTTTTGCCACGCTTGATGATCAAGGTCATGTCCATACTATCAATTGATTTTATCCTGTTGATTTGTTAAAGTACAAATAATTCACTTGAAAATCAAATTTAGTTGTTGAGTAAGTTATCATGTAAATTATTGTAATATGGAAGAAACGAGATGAAGGTGATGATAAAGAGTAGGATAATAATTAAGATCATTTTTCTTAAGGGCCATGCTTTAGTTTCTTATAGAATGCATTAGCTAAGGGTGTTCTATGGGATATTTGAGCTATACATATATGAATTTGGTGTAAGGGATTATTCCATTTTTATAGTCTTATAGAGACAGACATTATATAGATTCATAAGTTGCATATGCATCACATTTTGCTAGCTCGTCGAATTATTGATGTTTTATCTTAGTAAAAAAATTTTGGTTATAGGAAATAGGATTTTTATATAGACGAATTGTCGAGAATGAACTTCACCTCCAAATTATTGATTGATTTTACAATTCGACTGCAACTTTCTTCATGCATGCAACCTTAAAAACAAAATCAATTGGTGAGCCTTATGCATGAACGTAACATTTCCTCTCTCTCTCTATTAGTAGTACTATTGTGGTGTAAGTTTTTTTTTAAAATATTTTGGGAAAGAATCGTGATGTAAATTAATATATAGAGGAAAGGGTTCTTGACCAAAAAAAATGGAGAAAGGGTTTGTGTGGCAGTACAGGTGTGCAATAATAAAATTACTGTTATAATCTCCATTGTTATACATAATATTTATTTACTGAAATTTAAAAGGACATGATTGCCATTTCAAACTGTTTTATTGGACTATTGACCTCACATTTCAACTAGCATTCATCTGCCTAGCTAAGTACGTACTATAGAAGTTGTTAGATATATTAGTCTCAACCAGTCCCAGCAAAGCGGGGGCTCACTTATCTGGGACTTTGGATATATCCCCTCAAACATCCTAGGAAAGAAAAACATGTACACTGGTCATGGGACCACAAACACTCTCAAAACGTCCCAACAATGTAGTATATTAAACTAAAAAGTAATGTTAGGTAGGCTAAATCTTTAAATAAAATTTTATAAACTAAATAATGTAGCTCTAAATGATTGGATTATTACTCAAGTTAGACACGGCAAACGGGTCATGTTTGCCGTGTTCATGCTTTTTCATGTAATCTATGTTACTTACCGGGTCGTGCCGTGGCATATCCATTATCTTAACGGGTTTTTAACGAATCGTGTCATTTTACCCATTAAAATTAACAAGTAAAATGACCTGACTTGTTAAGATCTGATAAGAATAGAGAAAATTAAAATTAACAGTTGTGTGATACTTTGTTCTTCATTACGATAACTATTGTCGTTAATGGTTATTTTCATCTCTTGAGATTCAAGTATGATCGAATTGAAATGTACCATCACTATTTTAAAAAAAAACATTGAAATGTACCAGCACAATCTATTCTCATATTGAAACGTACCTATACTAAACTAAAACGCATTCATACCGAATTAAAATGTATGCTTACTAAATTGAAATGTGCCATGCCCAATTGAATTTTGGCTTGAAACGTACCGATAGGTTTTAGGGTTACACATAACTTGGTGTTAGCTTTTTTACATACTAAAATTGTGACAATATAAATGTATAAGTAGCTTGGTATGTATCCAATAAAAAAATAAATAACATATCAAAATACTAATTTTTACAGAAATTTAGATTATATAACGTATTAATAATATACCAAATTACTGGTACCCTATTTTTTTAATATATATAGGCATATGTGTGTGTGTGTGTATATATATATATATCATGTATATAATAATATTTGGAGTACATTGGTACGTTTAAAAAATCACTGTTTGGTTTCTTTGTTAAAATCATCATCGTCTTTTTTGCACCCACAATTTGTTTATTAGAAATTTATGCTTTTTATTATTAGAAATTTATTCTTTTGTGTGTTTGTGTGTGTTGAAATATATTGAATAAATGGAACATAAATTAATAATATCTTCTTTTGCAAAGGGGTTCAAGAAGCAGTACCACTGACCTTAAACCCTTTGATACGTAACAAACTCTTAACTCCAGCTACATGCTCTAGCTGGGTATCCTGATCAAATGCCCAATTAAATGTGTAGTCTCAGATGTACCACATTAAATATTTAGGTTATGATTACCTACTTATGAAAATTCATTTATTTTAATAGTAAAATCATTTTTCATGAGCATCGTGAAGAAAGATGATGAGAGAAATGTAACTTTTGATAAAATATATATAATTGTAATTTTCAGCACATAAAATATGAATGTGAGAAATATAAAGCAGTTCAGACATTTAAAAACTCCAAAAGGACTCAGTCAATGTCTAGGCTTTAAGCTGTGCAAAATTTACACCTCCGAGGAATCAGAGAAGCTTTTGTTTTATGCGATTGAAGGCCCACAACTACTTCATTTTCCCAATAACCAACATTAAAATTTCAATCAATTTGTATATTGAAATTTGGTCCTTAATGAAACACAAAAATCTGAATGAAAGGGACAAGTAGCAGTAGCACTGACCCTAAACCCATTTCCGATATGTACCAAACTCTTAACTCCGGCTCCACTCTCTGGCCCTAAATTATAATTAATATGGAAGAGCTTCCGCAGTCTAATTTCGTAGGACAACTGACTATGTTAATAAAAAAATGAATATGGAAGAGCTTCCACAGTCAAATATCTCCTATATTAATTAAGAAATAAATAAAATAAAAGTTAATCAAGAAGAAAAATATGAAGAATCAAAGAAATCATGACTTCATCCCACACCATTGAGCACTGAGGACGTAGGCAAAAAAAAAAAAAAAAAAAAAAAAAAAAATCTCACTAAGAAAACCTTGAAAAAATCAGTGCCCATCATATGGAATGAGAAATGCTAAGGAGATTATCTCATAGTGGTGTTTTCTATGAATTCCATGCGATTTCATATTTTAACGTTAATTCTAGCACCAACATTATAAAATATTGTATACAAATTTCTTTGAGAACCATTTTGGGCATCCTTCTTTGGAAAATACTTCAGTTTAAAATTGCTTCTATTGAAATTACTTAATTTTTTTTAATAAAAATGCAAATGCGTTTTGAAAAAGCACTCAAAGTCTCGAAGTGCTTCCAAAAAGAAACACAAAACATCACATGTAGTGCTTTTTAAAATA